ATAGGTTTTAAAATCTTGCTTATTACTTATAAAGCCCTGAATGGTTTAGCACCTCAGTATTTGAACGAGCTCTTATTGTATTATAGTCCTCACGTCTTCTGCGCTCTCAAAACTTTGGCCATTTGATAATACCTAGAATATCAAAATCAACTGCGGGCAGCAGATCCTTTATTTCTCCTGAAGAATTTTAGGAGACAAAGTTCTCCTAAAGAACTCAGTTGAGCCTCCTGAGTTATGAAAGAACAACCTCAATAAAATTGTCATCTGGTCACAAACACACGAGCATTCAGTAGAAACCTGTAAATCTGAGCTAAGCTGATGTACAACACACACTCACACACTCTCACACACGCGCTCTGGTCAGTCAGAGACACTCACCACTTCTGATCCCGCTGGATGAGCGACAGGAATCTGGGAATGACCTGAACAAACACAAGCACACACTAATGAAGCGCTGAGGTCATGTGACGGTCAAACACGCGTGTAGAGTGTAGAGCTGCTGATCACGAACCTTCTCGTGATGCTGGTGTGGGCCATAGACGTTACTGCTCCTCGTGATCAGAACAGGAAACTACAGCGGACAGATCAGAGAAAATACAATCTAGATCATTTCACAACATTTACCAACAAATCAATGATATGGCATTCAATTTGAAAGTGTTTATACATTATGGAAGTATGAGCAGTACTTATGGAAGCTTGTTTCCACAGGATAAAAAAATAAAGTAATAGTGACTTATCTCACAATTTTATATCACAGTTTATATCTTGTAATTATGAGCTTATATCTCACAATTCTGACATTTTTTGATTGAGTTTATATCTCAATTCAGATTTTTTTGTGAGATATAAACTCAGAATAGCGAGATAAACTTTAAATTCTGTGAAAAAGTCAGAATTGTGAGATAAAAAGTTGCAATTACCTTTTTCATTTTTTATTCCATGCCAGAAAAAAAAGTACTGTCAGATGCAAACTCAGAATTCAGAGAAAAAAGGAAAAACTATGAGATATAAAATGCATTGTTCTTACCACATTATAGTCATGTATAATCTAATGAGAATTAGCACTAAAAATAATGGGAATTACAAAACACTGAAAGTAAAATGTAAAAGATATAACGGGTATAATGTCATGACTGATACCTTGTGCTTCATCCAGTACGACATCACGATGTTTTCTGCCGCAGCTTTTGAGGCTGAGTATGGATTGGTGGGTCTTTTTGGACTCAGTTCATCAAAGGGCTGTGAAAACAAGATCCAGAACACACACTTCAGCTGACACCAAAATACTGCTGTACTAAACAGATCAACAGGAGATGGCTGGTTAGTCTTTCTCATGATAGGTTCGTGTACTCCAAAACTACTAGTGATGCACGCTCTCCAAACACTGCTTCATGAAGCTTCAAAACCATTGTGAATCATTTGTTCGGAGCGTGTATTAAAGTCACTTCAGTAAACGAGGCTTTGTTACTGCAGAACGGTTTCAAAACATTTCGAGATTTCAGTGGTTCTGTGAACTCATGAACCAGTGTCTATATAGAATTTTTACCTGATCTCAGATCAGTTTTATACATTTGTAGATATTTTTAATGCCACATTTGTTGAGTTGAAGAGTTGAAGTTATTAGTCTCTTATTGGTCCAATTAACTAAACTCTCCATTAAAAACAAACAAAACAAGCTCTGCTATTTAAACACTGTTATTTTAGACACTTCATATTTGTGACCCTGGACCACAAAACCAGTCATAAGGGTCAATTTTATGAAATAAACAAGCTTTCCATTGATGTATGGTTTGTTAGGATAGGACAATATTTGGCTGAGATACAACTATTTGAAAATCTGGAATCTGAGGGTGCAAAAAAATCTAAATATTGAGAAAATCATCTTTAAAGTTGTCCAAATGAAGTTCTTAGCAATGCATATTACTAATCAAAAATTAAGTTTTGATATATTTACGGAACCAAATTTACAAAATATCTTCATGGAACATGATCTTTACTTAATATCCTAATGATTTTTGGCATCAAAGAAAAATCAGTAATTTTGACCCATACAATGTATTGTTGGCTATTGCTACAAATATACCCCAGCGACTTAAGACTGCTTTTGTGCTCCAGGGTCACATTTAACAGCATTTGACATCTATTACACAGATTGCATAGATTACACTTTCAATAAAACATCTGCAATTGGTTTGTAAAATGTGCTTTTATGCAGGTTTTTGACCAGCAAGTATCACCAGCATCATTTCAAGCGATTTGAAACAGTGAATTGTTTTGGTTCAAATGATTCAGACTTGAACCCTAGCTTGACCTCACCTGCTCCAGACTGTCTCCATACACCTCATCAGTGCTGATGTAGATGAAGCGCCGCACTCGCGCCTCAAACGCCGCTCTGATCAGAACACCAGTGCCGTCTGCATTCACACGCATGAAGCGTGACGGACACAGGAACGAGTTCTCTACATGAGATAAACACGTGAATGACACACGCCGTCTTCTAGAGAGAAACACAGAGTTGACGATGAACGGACAGCGTTTACTCACCCACATGAGTTTCAGCAGCGCAGTGAAACACTATATCAATCTTCTCCGTCGCAAAGAGACGCTTTATGAGAAATGGATCGCAAACATCGCCCTGCGAGGAGAACACAGCTCATCAGCTGTGGCTCAGCTCGACATAACTGCAGTGATAATTAGGTTAGTTGCAAAGGTGGACAGTAACGAAGTACATTTACTTGAGTATTGTACTTTTTGAGTATCTCTACGTTACTTGAGTATTATTTCTTTCTGGCAACTTATGACTTTAACTTCACTACATTTGAAAGGCAAATATCTTACTTTTCACTCCACTACATTTCTATCAAGGTCCTGGAAGAAGAAAGTCGTTACCAGTGTTGTGTTACGTAATCAGATTACATTTTTCAAGTAACGAGTAAAGTAACGCGTTACTTTTTTATTTTAGAAGGAAATGTCGGAGTTACTTTTTGAAATCAGTACCAGCAGTTACTTTGTTTCCATGTGTTGAGTGACAGCTCTGGTGTTGCCATGGTGACAGAAATCAGGAGTAAGTGCAGAGCGTTGTGTGTGAACATGATCTTACTGTAGTTCTAGACTAAATATCAACATGTGTTTACTCATCTCACTGCACACAAACACATTCAGTGTTCCTCACAATCAATAAAAACAGTCAAATACAAACTCAGAATATTATACAAACCTGCAATAATTAATACATTAAAAAACTAATAAAATGTATGTATTTAATCCCATTTTATTAAGCAATGTCTTTGCTACCGACCTTCGATGATTCACTTCAATCATACTAATAAGCAGCAATGACACATTAGTGTTTAATTTGAGTTGCTGCTGAATAGAGTTGAACTTTCTTCTCCTGTGATTAGTTTGAGCTGCGCCCTCTACTGTACAGACGAGAATTTACATTTCCTTCAGCCTGAGCCGGATTCATTTCACTTTTGGTGTGAAAGCGCTTTTACGTTTGTAAAAGAAGAACTTTTTTATATTAAAAACAAACAAGCAAGCCCTGCCCAGATTTAAAAAGTAACGTAATGCATTACTTTCCATAAAAAGTAACTAAGTAACATAATTAGTTACTTTTTTAAGGAGTAACGCAACATTGTAACATTACTTTTAAAAGTAACTTTCCCCAACAGTGTTTGTTACAATGTAGCAGCTTTGAAAGTCAGCAGGTGACTTTTTTTTTCAGAGTCTATCACTATTGTAGGGCAACATGAAGTGTTTTGCCAGCATTTTTTTTCATTTACAACAACTCAATAATAAGAAGTCAATATTGTGATATATATTAGACACAATATTGTATCTATAGTATCTGTACTTTGACTCAAGTAATGGAGTAATACCGGGATGAAGGTGTATTTGCTGCTGGCCTCCACAGAGCGCAGGTTCTTCAGACTGGAGCAGTACTGCAGCTGAAACACAGTACAGAGACGCGTGACGCTTCATGAAGGGAAAACACTGACTCAATGCTGTTCAGAGACTCACATTATCAACGGTGAGGATTCTCCAGTGTGGGAATCTGACGGCCAGAGCGCTGATTAAATGAGATCCACTGAGAACACAAATATAAGCTCATTATACAGCACACAAACACAAATAAGTATTTGGACACAAGTCTCAGTGTGTTTGAATCAGCAAAACCACATACTCTCCGAGTAGCTACTTCTGTTGAATAAGTAATTCTACATACACGACCAGTTTTTGAACAGTAAAATTGTGTAATGTTTTTTAAAGAAGTCTCTTCTGCTCACCAAGCCTGCATTTATTTGATCTAAAGTACAGCAAAAGCAGTAATATTGTGAAATATTTGTACTATTTAAAATAACTTTTTTATGTGAATGTGTTAAACTGTAATGTATTTCTGTGCTCAAAGCTGTATTTTCAGCATCATTACTCCAGTCTTCAGTGTC